TTTTTGTTTTCAGTACGCCTTTACATTCTTAAAAATTATTTAAAGACCCCAAAGAGTTTATATGGTATTGATATTTACCATATTGGAAATTAAAACTGAGAAACACAATATTTACTAGTTCACTGAATAATGAAATCACACAATAGAAATAACTTTTTAATGAAGATAACTTTTTCAAAACAAAAAATATTTAGTAAGAGTAGTGTTGTTTAGCATTTTTACAAATCTCTTTATTACCTGGTTTAGAAGAACACAGTTGGATTCTCGTAACTGCTTCTGCATTCGGTCTGTTATGATATGCTGTTTTGGTTGAGATATATGAATATGGCCTCATGTTATCTTCTTCAGTACCAAACTTGACCAGGGGCAATGTGAAACCTAAAACTTTATCAATAAACGTTTGTTTCATTGGAATCCAGTGGTTTATCTTGCCCTTTGAATGGCTATTTGTAAAATTATGCATTTGGGGGAGGGGGTAGTTCACTGTCATGTAGATCTTTAAAATGTTGATTCATTTTATCATCCAGGATAAAAAGTCAGTTGTTATTACCACTGACCAGGTTCAGGGAATGCTACCTCAAAATATGGCAATTCAGCATAATGAATATTTCAAACTGAAAGAATCTGAGAAATGAAACATGACAACCTTTTTCTTTTTCTTAGCTCTTCTTGTGACCTGTTGCTTCTCAGTGAACAGATGAACCCACAGTGGTCAACAGCCACCATTAGAACAAACATATATTTGATCTGTTTTTATGATTTCTTCTACCTTCAGGAAAGACTTTCTGAAGTCTTTCTGAAGCAGGTCATAAAACCCTTGTGTGAGAGGTGCTACCCACCCCCGTACCTGTAGGAAGGAGAGTCTCGGAAGATGAGGGACAGAGAGGAATCTGAACAAGCCTTGCTAAGTTTGCCCATTTACTACACTTACTTAGCCTCTGTCCCATCACATCTTCCCACAACTGACACTCTTCAGCAAATCTAGCATAAAGACAGTCAGGTTCAACTGTTTCTTCAGGTCTTCATTTCCTTATGAAGGCTCCTGTGCCATGTAAAACTTACATTACATAAATGTGTATGCTCTTCTCTGGTAAATCTGTCTTTTGTTACAGAGGTTCCAGTTGATAACTTAAAATGGTAGGGAAAAATATTTTTTCCTCCCTTGCATCACCAAGCTCACGATGGTGAATACGTGTTTTCCAAAATTCTAATTTGAAAACTTGAATTTTATCATTAGCAAAAAATTCTGTTATTTGAATAAGCTCTTTCTTTTCTTTTGCAGAATGTCTACAGGTTTGTCATTCTTTCTTTCAGGTAGAAATGCTGTTCCATGATTCTCTCTCTCTCCCTTCCTCTCTCTCCCTCCCACTCTATCTGTACAAAAAATGGAAAAATATCCTTGGGTGAGGATAAAAAAAAAAAAAAAAAAAAAAAAGAAATGCTGTTCCATGAAAAAAGGGGCTACTTCAACTCACAAATCAATCATACGAGTGCTGTTCCCGGAGACAACACTGCATTTTGGCATGCAGCAAAAGTACTTGATTAGTATAATATTAACGAAAGCAGGATAATAAAAAGATGAACACCAACTGTCTCTCCTAATGCTGGCAGTTAGTTTTGGGTTCAAAGCCCTCTTAAAAACCCAGAGATTAAGAAGGTTCATACAAATCATAATTTCGAAAAGTTATATTTGCATATTTCTCTTGTCTTTCTCAAGTATATAAATACTGTATTAAAAACAAACAAACAACCCTGGCCGGTTTGGCTCAGCGGTTAGAGTGTCGGCCTGTGGTCCAGAGAGACCTGGGTTCGGTTCCCGCTAAGGGCGCGCACCTCGGTTGCAGTTTGTCCCCAGCCCTGGTTGGTCGTGTGGGTGGCAACCACTCGATGTGTCCCTTTCACGTGATGTTTCTCTCTCTTTCCCTCCCACTCTATCTGAACAAAAAAAAAAAAAAATAAAGAAAGAAAGCAAATAACTCTAGGATCAGAATTATTTGCCCTACCCCTTAAACATAAATTCTTCAAGAGTTAAATGACAGCTCCCTGACTTATTTGTGTTTCTAGCAGTCAGGGCTACTTATTGGACCGTTCTGTACAATGCTATACACCATCAAGAGTTCTGTTTTTTTGGAACACTCTTTCCAAAATGCTCTGTTCAGAAAAGACTGTTCTACTCAATAGAGATGGCTGTTATACTTTGATGAACTCCACATATTACAACATAATAGTGTTAGTTTTCACACAGGAAAATAGGAAAAAAAGTATTTTCTTAATAGAAATAAAATACAATCCTTGGGACAGAGTAATTTGAGATCTCTAAGTGCCCATCTGTCACAGTATGAAAGGACATTATATTTATCATTGTCAAGGGCGACAAAGTACTTATTTTTCACAGCAGTTTAATGGCAGAAATTCCAAATGAAGAGCTAATATTTGGACTCTTATATTTTCATAAAATGTTTAGGTACACAAATTGATGGCTAACAAGAAAGAACAGAGACCCACTAACTATGGTTGGGCCAGTTAGGACAAAACAATCAAAAGCCACTGGGTAAAAATCCCAAGAAAATCAAACAAGAGTTTTAAAGAGTAATCATTTTTTTATAAATACTTTTTCAGTAGCAGAAAATATTGGTTATGCACTTACAAGAAAGAAAAACAAGACAAAACATTATAATGTTTTTGGTTACTTTAAAAATCCATTAAATGTTCTTATAGGCTCCCTTATTTTTATCACCTTATCCTACTCAAAAGTGTACATGAAGCCATACTAGACAAAATTCAAGTACTCTGAGCTGTACTATCTGCACCACACTTTTCCAGTAATGGTTTGAATTCAAACCCATGGTGAAAACAAGCTGGCTGGTTTAATCCTGTGAAAAAAGAAATCATGCTCATGAAGAATAACTTAGGGAGTATGGTCTGAACATCATCGTTTGAAGGGGTTCATTTTCTCATTGGTAGAAGTCCAGTTCTCTAATTAAGAACAAAGACAATTTCTTTTCAATATAATTTTTGCTGTATTAAATATTAATTTCTGTTGTGATCTTCTCACCCATTCATGTATTAGGGTAGTTTTTAATGAGGTTGTTAACAATTCTCCAACTGATCTAATGTAAATGTCATCTATTCTTTCAAGGGCTCCTTGACTATGATCATGAAGATACTATCACCTACATGGACTGTTTTCTGTGTGTCAACTACTGATCTAAGTAGTTGAAATGTATTAACCCATGAATTGGCACAGTCATGGAGGGAGAGAGGTTAGGAAAGTGACTAAGTTCACACAGAAAGAGCTGGAGCCAGGCTCTACCCTAAGCACTGACTCCAGAGCTCAGCCTCTCACCACTATGCTATGTTGCCGTGCCTATGTTTTGTTTTGAAAACACACACACACACACACACACACACACACACACACAACCAACGACTGAACAGAAAAGAGGCATGTGATCCATGTTTTCTTAAAATCAATTCTTTTGTTAAGACTTATCAACATAAAAAAACAAAACAAAACCCAAACAATCCAATTTAGAAATGGGCAGAGGATCCAAATAAATATTTCTCTAGAGAAGACATACAGATGGCCAACAAATACATGAACAGATGCTCAACATCACTAATCAACAGGGAAACGCAATCAAAACCACAATGAAATATCACCTCATACCTGTCAGATTGGCTATTATAAAAAAGCCGCCCTGGCTGGTTTGGCTCAGCGGTTAGAGCGTCAGCCTCCAGTCCACAGAGACCCAGGTTCGGTTCCTGCTAAGGGCATGTACCTCTGCTGCAGTTTGTCCCTGGCCCTGGCTGGGTTGTGCGGGTGGTGGCCACTCAATGTGTCCCTTTCACATCGATGTTTCTCTCTCTCTCCCCCTCCTGCTCTATCTGAATAAAAAAATGGAAAAATGTCCTTAGGTGAGGATAAAAAATAAATAAATAAAAATAAAAAAGCCAACACAGAAGTGCTGGTGAGGCTGTGGAGAAAAGGGAGCCCTCTTGCACTATTGGTGGAATTATACATTGGTGCAGCCATTATGGAAAAACATCAGTATGGAGATTCCTCAAAAAATTAAAAACCGAACTACTATACAACTCAGAAGTTCCACTTCTGGGTATTTATACAAAGAAAAATAAAACACGAGTTCAAAAAGATGTATGCACCCCTATGTTCATTGCAGTATTATTTACAATAGCCAAGATATGAACGCAATCTAGGTGCCCATCAATAAATGAATGGATAAAGAAGATGTGGTATATATATACACAACAAAATTTTATTCAGAAATAAAAAAGAATGAAATCTTACCATTTTTGACATGGATGGACCTATAGAGTATTATGATTAATGAAATAAATCAGACAGAGAAAGACAAACATCACATGATTTCACTTATATATGGAATCAAAACCAAACCAAACCAAAACAGACTCACAGGTAGAGAACAACTGATGGTTGGTTACCAGATGGGTGGGGATGGAGGGAGGGGGTGAAATGGTGAAGGGGAATGAGGCACAAACTTCCAGTTATAAAATAAGCCACAGGAATGTAGCATACAGCACAGGGAATATAGTCAATTACATCATAACACTTTATAGACAGATGGCTACTAGACTTATTTTGGGGATTATATTATAAGGTTTATAATAAACACTGAATCACTATATTGCACACCTGAAACTAATACTGTATTGTCATCTACACAATAAAAAAATTTATAAGACTTGTTCTAAATGCTTCTGATTTTATAAAAGGCCTTATATTTTCAAACGTCATTTTATAATGCTAATGGTTGCTGTATACATTTTATTAAGTGTTTTCTATTCTGAATTTCAAACTGAATCAATTATAAATGATACAACTATAAAGAGTGATATAAGTATATTAACAGTTACACATTTAACTTTGCACAAAAATATAGTCTGAAGAAGGTATTATATTAGTAAATAAGTACATATTTACCCCAATCTTCAAAAACTTTTGTGAAACCTAGAATAAACATATTAAAATTAGATTTCCTGGGCAATACTAGAAAATTAAATGGCTAAAGAATATGTGCAAAGAGAGAAGCTACAAAATGAGAACTACAGAGTAATCAACTAAGCTGTCTTCAAATATGATTTATGTGATGCTTTTACATATTTTAGCCCCTTACACTTGGTCTTTAATCTATTATATCCTGATATTCTACCAAATAATACAATTAAAAACTCTTCCTCCCCAGAGAAGAAAGCTGCAATAAAATGTGCAATGCCTTGTGTACAATTACTAGTTTAATAAAATATTATCTAAATAACTAATTACTAGCGTTTAATATTTACAGTAGGAAATTTTTTAAAAACAACAAAAAACTATATTCTGTATTTAGGCCAATTGAAATGATTTTCAATATAACTAAATGCAATGTAGGGGTTAGATATGGTCAAATCTCACCAACCAGACTTCCAAAAATATGATTATGAAGGTGGACCACTAGGACCAGTGGATTCCCCTCCTTAGCTGAATTACAATGGATTCCTACCACAATTCTACTGAAGAAACTCATTCGAAAAAGATCCATCTTCCATGTGCTCACATAAAACCCCTCCCCCTCCACCCACTTCCACAATAAAAACTGCAAGTTAGTTGTGCTTTTGTGGCTTTTTCACTGGAGACTGTAAGTTTGAGTTGAATTATTCAATGTGAGGGTCACAATGAGAGAACGTGGATCTTTCTTATTCTTGTGGACTGTGATCTGTCCTTTCAAGGATTCACCTATAAAAGAAAGGCAAAAAATGTATTTAAGAATTCAAGGAAAACAGTCTAACAGAAAAGTAATGATGTACACCAGTACTTCTTTTTTGTTGTGAGATGTTTCACTAGTTTTCAAAAACTTTTTAATTGTCACATCCTTGCAAAAGAGCAAAATTTCAGTGGTCATGCAGGGCTGGGGAGTAGTTTTACCTGAATATGAGTTCCTGTGGTGAGTCCTGAGCACACAGAAAAATACAAGATATGGTTTCTGCCCTCAAAGAGTTCACATGAGGTCAAGGATAAAGAGAAATAGCTACATCAACAATTACACAACAGGTTTATGTCTAAGTGTGCTGAGAGTGAAAACGGGATGGTTGAAAGGTAGTAAAGGCATGTTTGATAAGAATTAATAAAAGAGGACTAACGTCATGGTTAACTTAAGGAGCACACATAGAATAGCATTTAAGGGAGAAAAAACATGTTACAGAGAGCCTACAGGGAATGGCATTCTCAGGACCTGAAAATTATAACTGAGAAAACTTAAATTCATATATTTAAAAAAATGTTTTTTTGATTGATTTTTAAAGAGAGGAGGGGAGGGGGAAGAGAGAGAGAGAGAGAAACATCGATGAGAGAGAGAACATCTATTGGCCGCCTCCTGCATGCCCCCCACTGGGAATTTGGCCCACAACCTGGTCATGTGCTCTGACCAGGAATTGAACCGGTGCGACCTCTTGGTGTATGGGTCGACACTCAACCACTGGGCCACACCGGCTGGGCTATATTTATATTTTATAGAGCTACATGATGAGGCTGTTAGCCTTGAAGGTATTAAGATTATAAATAAAAAACTGAACTTACACAGGTAAAACAGTAAACAAAAAATATTACATTTTTGTTTAAAGGTAAAAATTAATTCCCTAAAAACCTTATTATATTCCAAATTTTATTTCACTCCAAAATGGAATTTTATCTTATATCTATGTGCTTTTTCATTTGTTTACCAAGAGCCATTTAAAATAACAAAGGAGATTGCTAAATTGTAATTGATCACCATTCCTTGCTTTAATAAGAGTAAGATCACACTAAATAACAGCAGGTATAGCTTCACCATCTGGATGAGCACAGTACGACTCCATATAAAATGACTGAGAAATCCATATGAAACTATCCAAGGACTGAATCATATCTTAACTTAAAAAACAAAACAAAACAAAAAAAAACCTGCAAGTCCCCCACATTAAGGGATAATGAATCTGATGTTTTTCAATATGGTAGTGAAACAACAGAGTAAAACATATCAAAACCATCTAATAGTTGCATTTATTTCAGAGTCTAAAGATATCATCATTACAGATAACTTCTATACATCCTGCAGAAAAGGTAAGGCTTATATAGCTTAATACATCCAGAGAAAAAAGACATTGCATACAAGGGAAGAAAGAAGATTGACCTCAGAATTTCCATCCCTAGACATGTCTTTGTGATAAAAGAAGAAAACATATCCACTAAGAATTCAATATCCAGCAAAAGTCTTTTTTAAATGAAGATATAATAAAGACTTTTTTCAAAGAAATAAAAGCCAAAACTTTTTTCCAGTAGACCAGCACTACACAAGACTGTTAAAAGAAGTTCTTCAACAGGAGGAAAATTATACCCAAAAGAAACTTGGATCTACACATAGGAATAAATACACAGTATCCAAAATATTAGGTAAGTGATAAATATAAGACATTTTTTTTCCTTTTTAAAAGTTATTTATAAGATAATTGACTATGTAAAGCAAAAACTGTAACAACATATTGTGGGGTTGAAACATCTGGCGAAATGTTAACACAAAAGATGGAAGGGGCTCTGGCGGGTGTGGCTATTGGTTGGGCGTTGCCCTGTGCACTGAAAGTCTGTCAGTTCAATTCCTGGTCAGGGCACACGCCTGGGTTTCGGACTCAATTCCAGGTGGGGGGTGTGCAGGAGGCAGCCAATCAATGTTTCACTCTCACATTGATGTTTCTCTCTTTCTCCCTTCCCCTAAAAATCAACAAAAAAAATCTTTAAAAAAAAGATGGAAGGGGTTAAATGGAAGTATATTGTAAAAATCTCAGACTACAAACAAACACAAGAGGTATGGCTAATTAGTTAAGGCTAAAGTAGAGATAAAATGAAATAAACAGAGGGGATAAATAAAAAACAAAAGGCAAATGAAAGAATTAAATCCAATAACTATGTAATAACATTAAATGTAAACATGTCCAATATATTTTATAAAGATATGGGTTAAAAGTGAAAAGAGAAAAAGAAATTCTACATAAACATTAATCATAAAGAGGCTGAAATAGCTATATTAATTTCAGACAAAGTTGATGTCAGGAAAAAAATATAACGAGAGATAAAGAGAGAGATTTCAAAATATTAACTTGTTTAATTCATAAATGAGACATCATAAATTTTTGCATGCACAGAACTTCAAAATGCATGACAGAAAACCTGACAGACCACCAAAAACAGACAAATCTACAATTACTGTTGGAAATCTCACCTCTCCTTTGTTGGTAATGGCAGTATCAACTAGACAGAAGATCCGAGAGAATATGGAAGACTTGAACTACACTATTACCAATGTGACTTGACTGACATCTATAGAACCAAGACTGATCATAGCTGAGTCATAAAACAAATCTTAATGTACAGAAAACATAGAGAATATGTTCTCTGACCAAAACTAAATAAAATTAAGTATCAGTAATACAAAGATATTTGAAAATCCCCAAATATTTAGAAATTAAACAACAGACTTCCAAATATTCCATAAATGAAAATAAAAATCAAAAGGAAAACTAGACAGCATTTTGATTCAAATGATAATGAAGCACAACATAAAACTATGTGGCCTATAGCTAAAATAGTGCTTAGAGAAAAGATTTATAACTTTCAATGCTTACATCAGAAAACAAAGGAAACAGGTCAGAAATCTGTAATGGTGAATTCTATCAAATGTTTAAGAACAATAATATCAAATGTACGTAAACTTAACAAAAAATAGGAGGGAATATTCCCCACCTCATCTTTTGAGGGCAGTATTATCCTGATATGTAAACAAGATAAATTCATTAGAAGAAAACTATAGATGAATATAACCCATGAACATAGATTCAAAAACCCTTTGAACAAAAGACTCATTACGACTGTCTCATGAAATGTATAAAATGCATCTGACAAAAGTAATTTATAACAACTTTCAGTAAGCTAGGAATATGAGGAATTGTCCTCAACCTCAGAAACTATAGATAACGTTTATTCTTTTTAAATCCTCATCCAAGGATATTTTTCCATTGATTTTTAGATAGAGTGGGAAGGAGGAGGGGGGAGAGAAACATTGATGTGAGAGACACATCGATTGGTTGCCTCCCATACAACCTTTACCAAAGCTGGGAATTGAACCTGCAACCCAGGTATGTGCCCTTGACTAGGAATTAAGCCCACGACTCTTTGGTCCATGGGCCGATGCTCTAACCACTGAGCTAAACTAGCCAGGCATAAAACTTCATTCTTTTCTTTGCATTTATCTTGAGATACAGCAGGAGCGAGAGAGGGAAGGAAGAGAGAGAGGGAGAGACACATCAAGTGGTCGCTACCCACACAACCCCAACTGGGGCTGCGAACAAACTGCAACCAAGGTACGTGTCTTTAGTGGTAACCGAACCCAGGACTCTCCGGTCCGTGGGCTGATGCTCTAACCACTGAAAAAACTGGCCAGGGATAACATCATTCTTAATGGTGAAAGACTAAATGCTTTCTTCTTAAGACTAGGAATGAGGCAAAGACGCCCATTTTGACCATTTCTAATTAGTATTCTACTGGATGCCCTAGTTCAGGGCATTAAGGTACAAGAGAAGAATAAAAGGAATATACATTTTAGAGAAAAATAAGACATAAAACAATCTTTATTTGTAAACCACATTTCTTATATATAAAACATCCTAAAGCAATATGCAAAATAAACAAGTAAATAAATAAAGCTACTATAACAGGAAGATGGTTTAGCAATGTTTTAAGTTATAAGGTCAACCTGGCCAGTGTGGCTCAGTGATTGAGCATCGACCCATGCACTAAGAGGTCGCCAGTTCGATTCCTGGTCAGGACACATGCCCAGGTTGTGGGCCAAATCCCCAGTGGGGGGCATGCAGGAGGTGGCCAATCAGTGTTCTCTCTCATCAATGTTTCTATCTCTCTCTCCCTCTCTCACCCTTTTTCTCTAAAAAATCAAAAATAAAAACAAAATTTAAAAAAAGATATAAGGTCAATATAAAAAATTTTATTTTATTTCTATACACAAGCAATAAAGAATTAGAAAATCAAATAAAAAACACAATAGCATCAAGAAAGCATATAATATTTGAGATAAATGTCACAACATATGTGCAAGACTTAGACACACAAAACTATGAAGCAGTGCCAAAGATGATCTAAAGTAAATGGAAAGATACATTTTGCTTGTGGATGAAAGACTCAATATGGTTAAAATGTCAATTTTTCCAAAAGTAATCCATAGATTTAAACACAATCTCAAGCACAATCCTAATAGGTTTTGTTTTTTTTTGTAGAAATTAACAAGTTGATTTTAAAATTTATATGGCAATTTAAAGCATTTAGAATAACAATTTTGAAAAAGAACAGACATATAGATCAATGAGACAAAATAAAGCCCAGAAATAGACTATACACATATAGTCAATTAATTTTTGACAAAGGAGACAAGGTAATTAAATTGAAAAAGGACAGTCTTTTCAAGCAACGATGGTCGAACAATATTTGGGAAAAGATAAACTATTAGTCTTACAATGAACATAAAATAGACTAGACCTAAACGTAAAAGGTCAAACTGTAAAAATTTTTAGACAAAACATACAAGAAAATCTTTGTGATGTTACGGTAGCAAAGATTTCTTAATTAAGACACAAAGTCACAAAACTTCAAAAAACAGCCCTGACTGGTGGCCTGCGGTCCAGAGACCCGAGTTCAGT